TTAATTGCTTTGTCTTAACTGAAATAACTGAAAATAAATTTCCTTGTTTTCAAAAATAAAATTTAAACTTTTACAGAATAAAACATCATCACTATCGTCTAATTGGGATTTTTTTTTTTTTTTTTTGTTAATAATTTCATTTTATTTTTCAGAATGAAAATTTGTTACTGTATATCTTCTAATTTTAAAATTTCTTTTTTTAATTCTCCTTATACATTACTTTGTTCGTGTTTTGTTAAAAATAGAAATAACAACAATGTCATAATAAAAAACAAAAAACCCAGCACAGTGGGGTCGTGGCATAGTTGGGTTCAGTATAGATGATATCTGACAGTGATTAAAATCACTATTATAAAAAACGCTTCGATGCAAATCTGTAGATAGTGTTTAATTTAAAAAAAAAAATTTGTTAAAATAGCATATTTTTGAATACGGTAGCCATTTGCGCATAGAAGATAGATCGTCGGGACAAATTTTTTTTTTCATTTTGTAGTACATAAAATAAGCTTTATGTTTAAAGGACGCAGTATTTCCGGAACATTGTTAAAAATTAAGTTGAAAAAGTTAGTTTTTGTAAAAAAGTTGCTATATTAAATCCCACTTGTGAGCAGAATAAGTGTTAGATTTTCAAAAAAAATGATATCAAATGAAAGGGAAATATCTAAGGTTTTAGTATAAAAAAAAATTATGTTGATTTGTTGATTTTTGAAAAAGTTATGGCAGTTTTAAGTACAAAAAATATCCTTATAGAAGGTGATTTTTATCGCAAATATTACATTTTTTTTTAAATTTTGACAGCAATTTGCACATAGTAGATAGGTCGTCAAGACAAATTTTTTTTTTTCATTTTATAGTACATAAAATAAGCTTTAATTTGATATATGTTTAAAGGACGCAGTATTTCCGAAACACTTTTAAAAGTTAAGTTGAAAAAGTTCTATTTTTTATACAATATTTCAAGTTTTGAACGCCCCCTATATTAGGGGAAATTGTCCAATTTTAATAAAAAGTATGTCAAATGAAAGATGCACCTATAATGTATTTAGAAAAAAAAAATTTGTGCTGATAATTACATTTTTCGAAAAGTTATAGCACTTTTAAGTTGAAAATTTAAAATCGAAAATTTTAACACAAAAATATCGTTTTTTTAACTACAGCAGCCGTTTACATGCAGAAGATAAAGNTAAACTACGGCATCCGTGTACATGCAGAAGATAAAGTGTCGAGACAAATTTTTTTTTTTCATTTTGTAGTACATAAAATAAGCTTTAATTTTATATATGTTTAAAGGACGCAGTATTTCCGGAACATTTTCAAAAATTAAGTTGAAAAAGTTAGTTTTTGTAAAAAAGTTGCTATTTTAAATCCCCCCTGTGGGCAGAATAAGTGTTAGATTTTCAAAAAAAAA